ATTTCCATCTTGTTGTTTAATACAGGCTAGAAAACACATATTGTTTCACTCCTCTCTGCCTATTTTTTCTGCAAGGAATACATGTTAATCAATAGAGGATCTATCTCCCCCTACCTTTTCTTTACTTCCAGCCTCCCGTCATACTCATGTTCTCTTGTATATAGATTATGAACAGTTCCAGTGTCTCAAAATTATTTTAACTGTAATTTAGGCTTGAATGCTGGAGAGTGACAAATGCCAGTGAGTTGAGAGAGTTTGTTCACCAGAGGTTGCAATCTCTTACGACAGCTAACTACAGCTCTAATCTTCATTTGCACTCTCCGAATCCTGTAACAGATTGCATTTCTCTCATCCTTTCTCTCTGTTATTAATTCTTCACCTTTAAAAGATTAATACCTTTCAAAAAATGGACTTGTGTGCTGATTCGACTATTCTGAGTGCTAATATATGGAGCCCACAGCACTAAGAACAGCAGTTTGATATCCACCACCTGATGGACCTTGATGTACAGCCACTGTTATCTCAAGTTTTCATGGTTTGTGAGGCTTAACACTTCCCGTACTTATGTACAAAGGTGCTGCTAGTGGGAATGAATCAATTGCTTTAGGAGCTGAGAGAACTACAGGATAGTTTTAGATTAACCCTATCTGTTAATTGTACATTTCAGTATTGAAGGGCTGACTGCAGTATCTGGATTTTTTTTTCAGCAGAAAAGCTTTCAGTGGGCTACTTGAGGATCAACACAAAAATAAGGTGTGATAAAGGGATTGAATGGTGGAGGCATTGACTTCATAGGTATCAGCTGCTTTTTGTCAATGCATTATGCTATTGCTGATATTGAGGAAGTATTTCAGGTTGTGTGTGCCACTTAAGTCTCTCAAGGTTGAATTAGATATAAGTCTCCCATCTTTAAATACTGGCTTTCAAATATCCTTTAGCAATCTATTAGTCATGACGGTGATAATTCTCTTATTACATCTGTACTTGTATAAAATAATGATTTTGTTAAAAAATAACTATTTGTGCTGTTGTGACACTAATTTTCATACCTTCAGTGGTCTTGTGTTCTCCAGATACTTTATTTTCTAACTATTTAAAAATTCTAGAAATTTAAAAAATTAAGCTACTAAAATTCGAAATTAGACAGCTGGCATTTAAGGAAACAGTTTACTAACATGGGACGAATCCAGGAGCGTTTTAAGTGAATTTAAAGAGAGTTCAAACTCATGTAACTTTTGAGAGCTTGTCTTTTCTGCTTTGGCATGTTCCATCTCTTCACCATCCTGGACTTTTCTTAAACATACATCTTTCTCTTGTTTTAATCTAACTATGCTTCATACATCATTTCTGAGGCCTTGTCTGAATTAAGACAGAGGATGACTTTCAGCTCCACCTCACAAGATAGTAGCAAAGGTATTTTACCTAGCAGATCTTAAGATTATGGGTATTTCTTGCAGTTCTGTGCTATGTTACTTGAGCTAGTTTTAAACAATCTTCTTTGAGTAAGTATATTGGACTCACTGAGTGTTGGACTATCACGGGTTATATATTTCTGACGCTGAATTGCCTCAGAAGTCCCACCAGCACTGCATCCTGAAGTGTAAATGTACCATGTACTTCAGATTGCATCAGACTTATTTTATACATGGATTAGCTGGTGGAGGTGGTGTCTAAGCTGCTCTTTAATTCTGCTTTTAAAATATATATTTAGATCTTAGGCTGTATATGACTGAATTTGATTTAGCACTTGGTCTTTAAGTAGGTTGAGTTTTACAGTGAGCCAGTAACTGGGTTTTCCTCACTGTGACAGAGGATCTCAGAATGAAGCTGCTTTGACAAATATTGAGGGCATTATATTTTTATAGCTTGAAACCTTACCCTGTTGTCACTGAAGTCAAGGGTATCCATTGATTTTACTGGAGAGTGGAAGCAGTGCCACAGCCGACAGAGGTTTAAGACACAGTTTAGCAGAAATAATTCCTTGGGCGGTGGCATTGTCCAAAATACTCTTGGCAAAAGGAACTGATTTAGAAAATGGTTCAGCACGTTTTCTGGATGATGTAGGATGACGTATTTGATAAATGGGTATGCTATTAAATGAAGTTTATATGACCCAGAGTTGAAATTAGCTATATACCTTAGAAATAAACCAATATTGATACATCATTAGAGATAACATATTGCCATATTAATAGTTGACTTTCATCTTTGGCATTTCTGTGAATATATCAATACACATGTATACTTCCATGCAGTGTGTGTAATTACACAAATGTATGTGCTATACTTCTAGTCTGTTGGGAAGATATCATCTTAAGGTCAGTAGAGGGGGTACTTACCTTTACAAGGCACTTGTCCCTGCCTATACTTTACATCTTCTGGCATCTCTTGAAAGCTCTCTTCTTCAATGCACTTCTTACCACACTGCCTATGGGGTAAAGATTTCATGAGAAATCACTGTGTGGCAGTAGGAAGTGCATTCTATTCTGTGTAGTCCTTGTATAGAAACGCAGTACACAGTTTACCGGAGGCAATCAGGTCTGTTTTAAAGGATATGCTTTCTTTAGCAATTCAGAAAACATATTTTATGCATTTTTAGTATCTGTTAATAACTTGGATGTAACATTTTTCTGTCATCCCATTCATCATCCACTAAGGAAAGGGCCAGATCCTCAGCCCCCCCTAGCTTGTGCTCAGCATCTCTCTGAAGCACACGAGCACAAATGACTCATAGTAACTTCTCCCTGCAATTGTAGAGGAGCCTAAACAATAATGCTGGAAATGATGACAACTAGGCACCGTGTCCCTGTGTATGCCCTGCGTATGCGCTGGCCCTGGGTCAGAGAGCAGGCCGGTGGCTCTGGGCCTCCCCTCGCGCTCAGGACTGAGGGCTGGTATCTTAACAGCCGCACACAGATGCACAGGGCCGTGCTTCTTCGGGGGAAACAGCTACAATTTTGAGGTGAAACATATTTGCTGAGGTTTCGGCAGAGTCATGGCACTTCCCAAGTAGGGAAGGGTAGGGAGGGAGGTGTTTTAAGCAGGATTTCTGAAAGCGAGGGGTAGCGTGCCTGGGGCAGGTCTCAAGTCACTGAGGAGCACCATACGGGGAGGGGAGCAAAATACTCAAGTAGGACCAAAAATCACAAGGGAATGGAAGAAAGCCAGGGAAGCTGGGGTTCAGGCTCCTGCGTTTCCCCAGGGGAAGGAGGGAAGCTTTGAGCCTGACCTGCAACCTGCTCCCCTGGCTCAGCAAGCGGTGAGCACCAAGGGCTGGCGTGCAGTGTGTTGGAGCGGATTGGCCCTCCAGCTCGCTGCCTTGGGTGCCAGCAGGGAACAGCTTTTATCCGTCTAGTGCATGTCCTCCCACCATGGCCTTTCCTTCCCCCCAGCCAGAGGGGGAGCCAGGAACCAGGAAGGGTTTATATCTTGCAGACTGTGTTGTGTCTTATGGCATGGTGTATCCACAACTTGTGTGAGGGTCATATGCTTCTTCCAGCTACTTTCATCTGAAGGTATTGGTTGCAGTCTTGCCAGCAAGCGAGATGACTTCAGTCTTACATTATGAGGCTTTTTTCTTTGGCCAATGAGGCTTTTTAATTTGGCCATCCAAGAATGGGAGAAAACTTCACTGTTCACTGGGGTGTGGCAACAGTAAAGATCCAAAGGAGAGGTCCTTTCTTTCCAACATTACAGTAGGACCTCTGTTAGGATAGAAATAGGTGCATTTGCCATAAAGCTGTTTTTTTTCTTTCCTCTTCACCTTGCTTGACTAGTAGAGCTTCTGCCTAAACCCCTCCATTGCTTCACAGATACAAAGATGCAGTACCCAAATCCTCCTAACTACTGTTGTGCTTAGAGATCAGCTGAGTCCAAGAATACTGAGAGCTTTTGGATGATAGTGCCTGCAAAGTACAAAAGAACTTGCATGTAATTGATTGGCTTAATGAGTGGCCAGCTCCATTTCATCAGCTGTGTCGTACCTCACAGTTTCTTAGTCTCCTGTAGAATAGCAGCAGTGAACTGTGGGATAAAAATGTGGCATTCTAGATAATCACTCCATGATAACAATTAGGAAATCCAAACTTTTTAATGGCACCTAACAGCCTATCAGATAAACTGAAAATATTTTAAAAATTAACTCTGTCTTTTCTGACTCTTTTTTGGTTTATGTAATAAATGTAGCTTAGTTGCTTTGTCATTGTTTTTTGTTTTATTGAGCTTTATTTTCTGATTTTTGTGTAATAACATAAATGTTGTAGTATTTTAAAAGGAAGCATTTGTTAGAGAAAAAAACATTTGTTGTAACAAAATGTGTGGTTTAAAAATAACCTAGAATTCTGAGAAAAACTTCCTCATCAGAGAAGATACACCATAACACAACAGCCAGTTACTGTGGAACTCCTTGCTACATGATGTTGTAAATGCTAAAATTTTACATGGGTTGAAATAAGATTCAGAAAATCCACAAAGGAGAATCCATCATGGGCTATTGTATACAAAAACACTATTTCTGATGTTTCTGTTGGGATAGTATTCTGGAGAAAGATCACTACATACTTACCTCTGTCCCTGTGTTCTTCAGTCTCTGCTGGACGTTGTCACAGACCGGATACTTCGCTAGATGGATCTTTTATCTGACATGGTTCAGCAAATCTTAAATATTGCAAAAAGAAGCCTGGGGAGATACCTTTATTTTACTAAGATATTTAATTGCTTCTTTATGCTTGTCCTCTGCACCTTAATGACAGAAAGACAGGCTATCTGTTAGGCTCTGCCTATCCACAGGGTTCTTGGAAAATCTAAGTGATTGTTATAAAGGAATTGTGATTTATCTTCAGTGTTAGTGAATTGTATTCAGGCAATAAGAAAGAAGGTGTTGCAGCTCTGGATAAATTTATTAGTTTATTTCAATAGCAACTAGAAGCCGGGGAGTTAATAGGACTCTATTGTTACGTGATAGATAGCCTTTTTTGTTAAAATTAGGCAAAAATAGTCAGTGTGGTCATTCAGTTACACTGTCACTTGTTCACATCTAAGGAACTACTGGTTTAACTCCATCTCATTCCCTTTCAGACATCATGTCGGGCTGAAATTCTAAGGAGACACTCCCTATGATTCATGGGAGAGGAAGAAGAAATAAAAGTTATTCCACTACTGCATGGAGAGAGTCCTAACTGCAGTTGTGCAGCACTGCTGATAACAGGCCAAAACAGCATCCTGTCAGGTAGGTACAATTCTCTATAAGCAGGAACACTCCAAAACAGAGATTGGTCTCTATTCATTTATTTAAGACAGAAAATATTTCCCGTGACCTTCAGCTATAAATCCCTCTCGTGTTTGTTGGCCCAGGGAAAGACAGATATAATGAGACAACAACAAGCTCACAGGAACTGGCAAAGGGCTGCTATCTAGCCTGTAAAGTATGTAGGAAGAGGGCGCTAAAAGAGAGGGAGAAGGACTTGCTGCTGGTAGAGGCTGGAGAAGCCTTTCCACTAAACATGATTTAGAGCCCACAATGGAAGGGAACACTTTTCTACCCATGTTAGCAATTCCTAAGCATTTAGTAGTCGTGCATTCAGGTTAAGATAAATGTCAGGGCATTTGAGGTGAAACATTTGGCAGGACTTGTTAAAACTCCATGAAAAAAGTTGGCCCCTGGCACAGCATGTTGCCAGCTGAAAGAAACAAATCTGAGAGGAAGATGGGAATTACAGCCCCTTGGGGGCGAATCTCGAGGGTTTTACGAATACCAGGTCTCAGTCAGGAGGGACCATGGAGAGACCAAAAGAGAGATTCTCTGATAGCTACTGAACCAGGTGCCCTGGGAGGATGAAAGCTTGAAGGACACACTGTACCTCTGTTGCCCGTGGGGGCTGGCTAGAG